CTTTGAGCTTTTGCACACTTTACATTTCCAGCTGAAATAACTAGGTAAATGCTTTTTTTTCGAAATCGAGTAATCTCTATCTAATGCAGCCGTGTGTCATGAATTTAAAACCAATTCATGCACATAGAACATAGACTGCAAATATTTGCCTTAATGCTCTTTAGGGCTGCAGTCTACATAATTTGACGATCGTGAAAGTGTTGGCACGTAAAGCTTAATACAAATTTGAATACCCCCTTTTTTTGCTTCCTACCAAACGGACAGTTACTGCATTTGATGTACATGGATGAGCGCACACGCAATAAAAGAAGAGCATTACATCCGTCGGAGTAAACCATAGAATGATTGAGGAACGCTTTCCGTGATTCTCATTTTAAAAATCATTCATAATCTTCTTAGTAGGGATTCCAGTTTCAAAAACGATAGATCACAGAGATGTTTCATAAGTAATGCTATGGTAATATGATGAAGGATGTAAAGGGTCTACTCATTTTTCCAAATGAATTGTGCAAGGATTGGTTGATGTTTGTCTCGAATCCTTTCTACCAATTGGAGAGCCACAGCCGCCTGCAAGTTGGCTGACGCATGCACCCGGTTGTATGCGCGCGCTCACCTCATGAGGATGTGCGCACACGAGAGCTGCAACCGCATCCTTTCACCGATCACCCAGTGATAAGACGCGACTGGACTGGAACGTGTAGCGTAGGAGCAACAGTGAGGATATCCCACAAGCACGCAAGATTTCCTCCCACGGTGGAGACCGCGCTAGCAGCCTGTGCGAGGCAGGTGGTGTGCAGAGCTCCCTCAAGACAGCACAGGGCAGCAAGCGTGCGTCTCCCACGCCCAAGAAGCTCTACTTCCGAATCGAAAATAATGTGTTCTATGATCCCGTAAGTGAGAAGAAGGGATGGCGCCATGTACGTCGTGTGACGAAGAGGAAGGATGGTGGATGTAACACTACACGAGAAGAGAAGCAGGATTCTCGGTTCAAGTTGTTTGGTGCGTTTAGCAATGCCTCCAATCTCAATGCTATGGTTAAAATGGCCGCATGTGATCCCATACTCACTGCCAGACATATTTCGGACAATGGGACAGCCAGACTTGCCAGCTGGACAGCGAGTGAGGAGACGACAAGGCAGGTGACACCCAAACCGCGGGAGAATGCTACTTGGATGGTTAACGTGAGGGCGTGGACAATGTCGGCGGCCTGTGGCAAGTCGGGTATTGCGCTGAGGGGAGTGTCCGAGAAAGCATCGAAACCGGAGACGGTAGTAACGCCGAAAAGGCAATCGAAATCATGTATGGATCTGTCTCATGTGATAAGTCACTTCTCTGCATCCCGATTCACCCCACCGCAATCTACTTCTTTAACACCTCCCAATGTGAGAACTCGCTCAGCCAGAGAGAATGTGGGCGCGGATGTACATTGTGAGTCGAGTGAGGAACAGGGGTCAGATTTGCCTCCTCTAGACCTGCCGAGGAATCCCTTCGAGAGTGTCATCATTAACATTCCGGTGTTGGGGTTCAGAAGGTGTGGCAAGACAAGTCTCCTCAATAGTCTAGTGCAGACTGGTCCCACCAGACTTACCACCTCGTGCACACGAACACCCACCTACTACTACCCCATGGTGATTTTCAACTATCAAGTGTTCAATTTCCGCCTCATTGACTGTCCCATGATGGTGCAGGACTTTCCTCTCTCTACACTCGACGCGTGGGCTGATTTTCGTGGTTGGGGTCTCCACGTGGCTGATTTCTTTATTCTTGTCTTCGATATCACTTGTGAATTCTCCTTCCAGTATGTGAAACTGCTGCGTGAACAAATACTCGCCGCGAATATGGATGTACCCATGGTAATAGTTGCGAACAAAATTGATCTGATCAAGAGTTCAAGCAGCACCGGCATGTCTCACCACTCCTTGACTGCAACCCCACCCTCGGTGCAGCGATCGGGAAGATACAACAGTCGGGTATTCTCGAGGAGTCGCTTGGAAGGTTCAGCCAATTTAGGAGAGGGTATTTACGTCTCGTGCCCCCCACACATCTCCCTTCTGCCACATAA